AATGAATTCAAACCCCTCTGAGACCCCTCAAATCCCCCCCAAACTCCTCCAGGACCCCCCAAGTCCCCCCCAAACTGCCCCCAGCCGCACCTGCGCCGCTGCGGACGGCGGCCATGGGGGGGATGGGCTGCCAGCTGTCCCTCTCGGGGTGGTAGCGCTCGGCCGAGCGCAGGCGGGCGCTGCCGTCGAAGCCCCCCACGGCGTAGAGCAGGCGGTGCAGCACGGCCACGCCCAGCCCGATGCGCCGCGTGCCCATGGGGGCCACGGGCGCCCACGCGTCCCGCTCGGGCTCGTACCTGGGGGGCGGGGGGGGAAACCCACGGTGAGAGACACCAGACCCACGGTGAGAGACCCAGGGGCCCCCAGACCCCACGGTGAGAGACCCAGGGGCCCACAGACCCCACGGTGAGAGACCCAGGGGCCCCCAGACCCCACGGTGAGAGACCCAAAGGGGCACAAACCCCATGGTGAGAGACCCAGACCCTCCGGTGAGAGCCCCCAGACCCTGTGAGAGCCCCCAGACCCCACTGTGAGACCCCAGGATCCCACAAACCCCATGGTGAGAGCCCCCAGACCTCACTGTGAGACCCCCAAAGGGGCACAAACCCCATGGTGACAGCCCCAGACCCCACGGAGAGACCCCCAGACCCCACGGTGAGAGACCCCAGACCCACGGTGAGAGACCCAGGGGCCCACAGACCCCACGGTGAGAGCCCCAAAGGGGCACAAACCCCATGGTGACAGCCCCAGACCCCACGGAGAGACCCCCAGACCCCACGGTGAGAGACCCCAGACCCACGGTGAGAGACCCAGGGGCCCACAGACCCCACGGTGAGAGCCCCAAAGGGGCACAAACCCCATGGTGACAGCCCCAGGACCCCACAGACCTCATTGTGAGACCCCCAAAGAGACACAAACCCCACTGTGAGAGCCCCCAGACCCCACGGTGAGAGCCCCAAAGGGGCACAAACCCCATGGTGACAGCCCCAGCCCATTTCCCCCCCTCACCTCTCCACGGAGCGCAGGTGCGTGCCCCCGTGCGACCCCCCCACGGCGTAGATGAGCCCGTCGATGACGCCCACGCCGATCCTGTTCCTGGGCACGCTCATGGGCGCGCAGGGCGCCCAGCGCCCGCTCACGGGGTTGTAGCAGTCCACGGCCGCCGAGTCCGTGTTCCCCTCGGCCGAGTTGTTCCTGCCCCCCACGGCGTAGAAAAGCCCCCCGACCACGCAGCCCCCCAGGCCGGAGCGCGGCGCCTCCATCTCCGCCAGCCTCACCCACCGCCCTCCCTCGGGCTCCAGCGCCTCCAGCGTGCCCACCGACCTCCCCAGGTACCCCCCGGCCGCGTAGATCAGCTGCCTGACCCCGGGGGTCCTGCCGGGGGGGCGGTCCCCGGAGGGTCTGTGCAGGGAGAGCTCGCGGAACACCTGGGCCAGGTAGCGCAGGGCGTCGCGGCCGAGGTGGCGGCGGCGGAGCTGGGCGCGGAGGAAGCGCGGCGGCAGCGCGTGGCAGCGCACGGCGCGCAGCAGCGCGGGCAGGAACGGGGCGCGGGCGGCGCGGTCCTGCTGCACCCAGGCCAGGCACGCCTGGAACACCTCGCACTCGCCGCGCACGTTCAGCTCGTCGCGGCTCAGCAGGGCGGCCAGCTGGCAGTGCGACAGGGACAGGAACTCCTCCTGCTTGGACCCCTGGGGAGAAATGTCAGAATTGGTAAAAATTGGGTCAAAAAATAACCCAAAAATGGTATACTGGCAGTGCGACAGGGACAGGAACTCCTCCTGCTTGGACCCCTGGGGAGAAATGTCAGAATTGGTAAAAATTGGGTCAAAAAATAACCCAAAAATGGTATACTGGCAGTGCGACAGGGACAGGAACTCCTCCTGCTTGGAGACCTGGGGAAATGGGGAGAAAAGGTCAAAATTGGTAAAAATTGGTTCAAAAAATAACCCAAAAATGGTATACTGGCAGTGCGACAGGGACAGGAACTCCTCCTGCTTGGACACCTGGGGAGAAATGTCAGAATTGGTAAAAATTGGGTCAAAAACAACCCAAAAATTATATCCTAACAGTGCGACAGGGACAGGAACTCCTCCTGCTTGGACACCTGGGGGAATGGGGAGAATTGGTAAAAATTGGTAAAAATGGGCTCAAAAAATAACCCAAAAATGCTACACTGGCAGTGCGACAGGGACAGGAACTCCTCCTGCTTGGACACCTAGGGGAAAAGAAATAAAAGGTGAAAATTGGCAAAAATCAGCTTAAAAACAACCAAAAATGGTATCCTGGCAGTGCGACAGGGACAGGAACTCCTCCTGCTTGGAGACCTGGGGAAATGGGGGGAAAAGGTCAAAATTGGTAAAAAACAGCTCAAAAAATAACCCAAAAATGATATACTGGCAGTGGGACAGGGACAGGAACTCCTCCTGCTTGGACACCTGGGGAAATGGGGAGAGAATGATCAAAACACCCCACCCCAACACCCAAATTAATTCTTCCACTCAACACCCAACCCAATGAACAATTCCACTCAACACCAACCCAATGAACAATTCCCGGCAGCCCCAATTAAATTAATCATCCCAATCACCACCCAACCCAATGAACAATTCCACAGCCCCAAAACCACCACAAATGACCAAACCCCAACAAATGACCCCACTCCAATACCCCACTCCAACACCCAACCAAATTAATCATTCCAACCAACCCCCAATTAAGTTAATCATTCCAATCAACCCCCAACCCAATGAACAATTCCCCACAGCCCCAATTAAATTAATCATTCCAATCAACACCCAACCCAATGAACAATTCCACAGCCCCAAAACCACCACAAATGACCAAACCCAACTCCAACACCCAAATTAATTATTCCAATCAATATCCAACCAAACGAACAATTCCACAGCCCCAAAACCACCACAAATGACCAAACCCCACTCCAACACCCAATCCAATTAATGATTCCACTTAACACCCAACCCAACGAACAATTCCCCGCAGCCCCAATTAAATTAATCATTCCAATCAACCCCCAATTAAGTTAATCATTCCAATCAACACCCAACCCAATGAAGAATTCCACTCAACATCCAACCAAATGAACAATTCCACAGTCCCAAAACCACCAGAAATTACCAAATCTCGCTCCAACACCCAACCAAATTAATCATTCCAATCAACACCCAACCCAATGAATTCTTCCACTCAACACCCAAGGCAATGAATTCCACACAACCCCAAAACCATAAATGACCAAACCCAACTCCAACACCCAACCCAATGAACAATTCCACTCAACACCAACCCAATGAACAATTCCCCACAGCCCCAATTAAATTAATCATTCCAATCAACCCCCAATTAAGTTAATCATTCCAATCAACACCCAACCCAATGAAGAATTCCACTCAACATCCAACCAAATGAACAATTCCACAGTCCCAAAACCACCAGAAATTACCAAATCTCGCTCCAACACCCAACCAAATTAATCATTCCAATCAACACCCAACCCAATGAATTCTTCCACTCAACACCCAAGGCAATGAATTCCACACAACCCCAAAACCATAAATGACCAAACCCAACTCCAACACCCAACCCAATGAATAATTCCACTCAACACCAACCCAATGAAAAATTCCATGCAGCCCAAATTAAGTTGAACAATTCCATTCAACACCAACCCAATGAACAATTCCACAGCCCCAAAACCACCACAAATGACCAAACCCCACTCCAACACCCAAATTAATCCTTCCAATCAACACCCAACCCAATGAACAATTCCACTCAACACCCAAGGCAATGAAATCCACACAACCCCAAAACCACCACAAATGACCGAACCCCACCCCAACACCCAAATTAATTCTTCCACTCAACACCCAACCCAATGAACAATTCCACTCAACACCAACCCAATGAACAATTCCCGGCAGCCCCAATTAAATTAATCATCCCAATCACCACCCAACCCAATGAACAATTCCACAGCCCCAAAACCACCACAAATGACCAAACCCCAACAAATGACCCCACTCCAAGACCCAACCAAATTAATCATTCCAATCAACCCCCAATTAAGTTAATCATTCCAATCAACACCCAACCCAATGAATTCTTCCACTCCAACACCCAACGCAATGAACAATTCCACACAACCCCAAAACCACAAATGACCAAACCCCGCTCCAACACCCAAATTAATGAACAATTCCACACAACCCCAATTAAATTAATCATTCCAACCAACCCCCAATTAAGTTAATGACTCCAACCATGGCCCCACCTGGTACATGAGGGCGCCGTGCAGCAGCGGCAGCACGCAGCGCTCGCCCACGGCCACGGCGGCCGTGTAGGCGAACTCCACCAGGCGCTCCATGGCGCGCGGCTGCACGCCCTCGATGGGCACCTCGGCCAGGCCCCGCTCGCGCAGCCCGGCCGTGAACATGGCGCGGAACACGGGGCTGATTTGGGGTGGTTAGAGTGGGGAAACTGAGGCACGGAGGGGCACAGGACTCCCTGGAATGGGTTATGGGGTTGTTATGGGGGGAAATAACAGGGTTAGAACGGGGGAAACTGAGGCACAGAAGGGGACAGGACTCCCTGGAGTGGGATTGGGGGTGGTGGAGAGGCTGTGGGGGGAGAAAAATGGGGTTAGAGTGGGGAAACTGAGGCACAGAGTGTGGGGAGGGGGACAAGAATGGGATTTGGGGGTAAAATAACAGGGTTAGAGTGGGGAAACTGAGGCACAGAGGGGGACAGGATCTCCATGGAGTGGGGTTTGGGGTAGTGGAAAGGCTGTGGGGGGAGAGAAATGGGGTTAGAGTGGGGAAACTGAGGCACGGAGGGGCACAGGACCCCCTGGAATGGAATATGTGGTTGTTATGGGGGGTGAGAGTGGGGAAACTGAGGCACGGAGGGTGGGGAGGGGAACAGGAATGGGACTTGGGGTGGTTAGGCTGGGGGGGATTTGAGGGGTCCGAGGGGGGGGTCCCGGGGGTCTCAGGTCGGTCCCGGGGGTCTCAGGGGTCTCAGTGCAATCCCGGGGGTCCCAGTGCCGCCCCGGGGGTCTCAGGGTGGTCCCGGGGGTCCCAGTGCAGTCCCGGGGGTCTCAGGGGGCTCCCGAGGGTCTCAGTGCAATCCCGGGGGTCCCAGGGGTCTCAGGTCGGTCCCGGGGGTCTCAGTGCAATCCCGGGTGTCCCAGGTGTCTCAGGGTGGTCCCAGGGGTCTCAGTGCAATCAGGGTCCCGGGGGTCTCAGGTCGGTCCCGGGGGTCTCAGGGGTCCTAGTGCAGTCCTGGGGGTCCCAGGGCAATCCCGAGGGTCCTGGGGGTCTCAGGGCAATCCCGGGGGTCTCAGAGTGGTCCCAGTGCAATCCCGGGGGTCTCAGGTCGGTCCCGGGGGTCTCAGTGCAATCCCGGGTGTCCCAGGTGTCTCAGGGTGGTCCCAGGGGTCTCAGTGCAATCCTGGGGGTCTCGGTGCCATCCCGGTGGTCCCAGTGCAATCCCGGGGGTCTCAGATCGGTCCCGAGGGTCCCAAGGGTCTCAGTGCCATCCCGGTGGTCTCAGTGCCGCCCCGGGGGTCTCAGGTCGGTCCCGGGGGTCCCAGTGCAATCCCGGGGGTCTCAGGGAAGTCCCGGGGGTCCCAGGTGTCTCAGGGTGGTCCCAGGGGTCTCAGTGCAATCCTGGGGGTCTCAGTGCCGCCCCGGGGGTCTCAGGGCTGTCCTGGGGGTCCCAGGGGTCTCAGGGTGGTCCCAGGGGTCTCAGTGCAATCCTGGGGGTCTCGGTGCCCCGCCGGGGGTCTCAGGGTAGTCCCGGGGGTCTCAGGGGTCTCAGGCCGGTCTCGGGGGTCGCGGTGCCGCCCCGGGGGTCTCAGGGGTCTCAGGTCGGTCCCAAGGGTCCCAGTGCAGTCCCGGGGGTCGCGGTGCCGCCCCGGGGGTCTCAGGCCGGTCCCGGCGGTCTCGGGGGTCGCGGTGCCCCCCCGGGGGTCTCAGGCCGGTCTCGGGGGTCGCGGTGCCCCCCCGGGGGTCTCGCACGGGCTCTCTCCCCCCCAGAGGAGCTGGCCCGGTTCCGGCGCGATTTCCGCTCCCGCCTGTGGCTGACGTACCGGAGCGGCTTCCCGGCGCTGCCTCTCAGTGCAATCCTGGGGCTCTCGGTGCCCCGCCGGGGGTCCCAGGGTAGTCCCGGGGGTCTCAGGGGTCTCAGGCCGGTCTCGGGGGTCGCGGTGCCCCCCCGGGGGTCTCGGTGCCGCCCCGGGGGTCTCAGGCCGGTCCCGGCGGTCTCGGGGGTCGCGGTGCCCCCCCGGGGGTCTCGGTGCCGCCCCGGGGGTCTCAGGCCGGTCCCGGCGGTCTCGGGGGTCGCGGTGCCGCCCCGGGGGTCTCGCACGGCCTCTCTCCCCCCCAGAGGAGCTGGCCCGGTTCCGGCGCGATTTCCGCTCCCGCCTGTGGCTGACGTACCGGAGCGGCTTCCCGGCGCTGCCGGGCACGGCGCGCACCTCGGACTGCGGCTGGGGCTGCACGCTGCGCAGCGCGCAGATGCTGCTGGCCCAGGGGCTGCTGCTGCACCTGCTGGGCCGCGGTGAGGACCCCCGCCCCGCCCTGCCCCGGGACCCCCGCCCGCGCCGGGACCCGCCCCAGCCACCGCAACCTCCGTTCCAGACTGGATGTGGCCGGAGGCGCCGCTGGAGCCGGAGCGGGGGGGGTCCCGCAGGAGCCGCGACCCCCCGGGACGGGCGCGGGACCCCCAAGGACGGGCGCGGGACCCCCCGGGACGGAGCCAGGACCCCCCGGGACGGAGCCAGGACCCCCCGCGACAGGCACGGCCTCCCCGGGATGGAGCGAGGGTCCCCCGGGACGGACACGGATCCCCCAGGACGGACAGTGCGGCCCCCGGGAGGACGCGGGACCCCCCGGGATGGAGCCAGGACCCTCCAGGGTGGACAAGACCCCCCCAGAATGGGCAGGGACCCCCCAGGATGGACACGGAGCGCTCCGGGGGGACGCGGGACCCCCTGGAACAACCCCGGGACCCCTCAGGACGGTCCCGGGAGCCCCTGGGACAGCTTCAGGACCCCCCGGGACGGGCACGGGATGCCTTGGGGCAGCCCTGGGACCCTCCGGGACCACCCCAGGACCCCCTTGAACAGCCCCAGGACCCCCTGGAACGGGAACGAGACCCCTCGGGACAGCCCCGGGACCCCTCGGGACAGCCCCGGGACCCCCCAGAACAACCCCGGGAGCCCCCGGGACCACCCCGGGACCCCTCGGCACAGCCCCGGGACCCCCCAGAACAACCCCAGGCCCCCCTGGAACGGGCACGGGACCCCCTGGAACAGCCCTGGGACCCCCTGAAACGGGCACGGGACCGCTCGGGACAGCCCCGGGACCCCCCAGAACAACCCCAGGACGCCCTGGATCAGCCCCGGGACCCCTCGGGACCCCCCCGGGACCCCTCGGGACAGCCCTGGGACCCTTCGGGAGAGCCCCGGGACCCCCTGGAACAACCCCGGGACCCGCCGGGACGGGCACGGGACCCCCTGGAATGGGCACGGGACCCCCGGGAGGCGGAGCGGCGGCACCGCGCCGTCGTGTCGTGGTTCTGCGACCACCCCCGCGCCCCGTTCGGGATCCACCGGCTGGTGCAGCTGGGCCGGGAGTTCGGCCGCCGCGCCGGGGACTGGTTCGGTCCCGCCATCGCCGCCCACCTGCTCCGGTGAGCGGCACCGGGGGGGGCTCGGGGGGACCCCCGAGGGGGCTCGGGGGGCACGGCGGGACCCCCCGGACCCACCGTTCCCGTCCCGCTCAGGGGGGCCGTGGAGTCGTGCGCGGAGACCCCCGGGCTCGCCGTCTACGTGGCCCAGGATTGCACCGGTACCCGTTCCCATTCCCGTTCCCGGTCCCGTTCCCGCTCCCGTTCCCGCTCCCATTCCCGGTCCCGCTCCCGTTCCCACTCCCGGTCCCATTCCCGATCCCGATCCCGTTCCCGTTCCCGGTCCCGTTCCCGCTCCCGTTCCCGTTCCCATTCCCGGTACCGGTCCCGCTCCCATTCCTGTTCCCGCTCCCGTTCCCATTCCCGGCCCCGTTCCCGTTCCCGATCCCGATCCCGTTCCCGTTCCCATTCCCGTTCCCGGCCCCGCTCCCGTTCCCGGTGCCGCTCCCGTTCCCGTTCCCGCTCCCGTTCCCGGTCCCGTTCCCGCTCCCATTCCCATTCCCGTTCCCGGTGTCACCGCGTCCCCCCCGCAGTCGCTGCTGCAGCTCCGCTCCTGCCTCGGCATCATCGGCGGCAAGCCCCGGCACTCGCTCTTCTTCCTCGGCTTCCAAGGTACCGATCCCGCGGGAGGGGGTCCCGGGGGGCCCCCTCCCCTCCCCCGCCGGGGGAAGCGCCCCAAAAAACCCAACTCGGAGGAGTTCGTTCTGCTGTGAGACCCCCGAGACCCCTCCCCAAAAACACTGGAACGGCCCCGCGGCTCCGGGGGGGGGGCTGAGGGCACCGCCCCCTCCTCAAATTTGGGTCACTGCTGCACCCCCCCCACACACACACTCCGGGACCCCCAAACTCCCGGGACCCCCCGAATTTTGGGACCCCCCCGTTCACTGTCAGACGCTGCTCAGGGTGAGGGGGGGGTTATTTATTGCCCCACTCAGGACCCCCCCAAATAAAGACAACTTGAATGGAGCTCGGTGTCCCCGGGACCCTTCCCGTGTTTCCTGGGGGTCTCAGGGGATTTCTGGGGGTCTCACGTGTTTTCTGGGGGGTTTCAGGTGATTTCCCGGGGGTCTCGGGTGTTTTCCAGGGGTAACAGGGGATTTCTGGGGGGTCTCAGATGATTTCCTGGGGGTCTCTGGTGTTTTCTGGGGGTCTCAGGTGATTTCTGGGGGGTTTCAGGTATTTTCTGGGGGTCCCCTCCGGGACCCCCAAACTCCCGGGACCCCCCGAATTTTGGGACCCCCCCGTTCACTGTCAGACGCTGCTCAGGGTGAGGGGGGGGTTATTTATTGCCCCACTCAGGACCCCCCCAAATAAAGACAACTTGAATGGAGCTCGGTGTCCCCGGGACCCTTCCTGTGTTTCCTGGGGGTCTCAGGGGATTTCTGGGGGTCTCACGTGTTTTCTGGGGGGTTTCAGGTGATTTCCCGGGGGTCTCGGGTGTTTTCCAGGGGTAACAGGGGATTTCTGGGGGGTCTCAGATGATTTCCTGGGGGTCTCTGGTGTTTTCTGGGGGTCTCAGGTGATTTCTGGGGGGTTTCAGTTATTTTCTGGGGGTCCCAGGTGTTTTCCTGAGGGTCTCAGATGATTTTCTGGGGGTCTCAGGTGATTTCTGGGGGGGTCTCAGGTGTTTTCCTGGGGGTTTGGGGTGGTTTTTTTGCGTTTCTTTTTCCCGTTGACGGCCGCTGTTTTCCCGGCATTCCCTGGGTTTTTCCCGTGATTTTTCTCTGGCTTTTTCTCCATGTTTTTCCCGGGATTTTTCTCGGTATTCCCAGGGTTTTTCTCGGTGATTTTCCCTGGATTTTTCCCGGTGTTTTTCGCTGTATTTTTCTTGGTGTTCCCTGGATTTTTCCCGTTATTCCCTGAATTTTTCCCGTTGTTTTTCTCTGCATTTTTCTCGGTATTCCCAGGGATTTTCTCGGTGTTTTTCCCTGGATATTTCCCAGGCTTTTCCCCTGCATTTTTCCCATTTTTCTCGGGATTTTTCCCGGGGTGTTCCTCGGGATTTTTCCCGTTATTCCTGGGATTTTTCCCGGGGTTTTTCTCAGTATTTTTCCCTGGATTTTTCCCGGGATTTTTCCCGGGGTTTTTCTCTGCATTTTTCTCGGTATTCCCAGGGATTTTCTCGGTGTTTTTCCCTGGATATTTCCCGGGGTTTTTCTCTGTATTCCCAGGGTTCTCCTCTGCATTTTTCCCATTTTTCTCGGGATTTTTCCCGGGGTTTTTCTCTGCATTTTTCCCGTTATTCCCGGGATTTTTCCCGGGGTGTTTCTCAGTATTTTCCCCTGGATTTTTCCCGGGATTTTTCCCATTTTTCCCGCTGCTTTTCCCGTTTTTCTCGTGGCTCTCCCCCCCTTCCTTGCCCCTCTGCCTCCTCAGCTGCCGGAACCGCAGCCGCCGGGCGTTGAGGCCGAAGGCTTCCAGCCTCTTCCCGCTGAACTCGCGGCCCCCCAGGCGCACGGCCGGGCCCAGGGGGGGCCCCCCCCGCCGCCGGGGACCCCCGGGGTTTTGGGGGGCCGCGGGGGGGTCCTGGGGGGGCTCCCCTTTCCCCCCTTCCTCTTCCTCCTGGCGCTTCCTCTTCTCCCGGCGTTTCTTCCCAAATTTCGGCTTGGCCGGCGCCGCCTCCGCCTCCTCGGGGCTGTGACGATGATGATGATGGTGGGGAGGGGTCGGGGGTGCTGTGAACCCCCCCAAACCCCCCCAAAGCCTCCCAAAGCCCCCCAAAGCCCCCTCAAAATCAGCACCCACACCCCAAAATCGGCAGCCGTGGAATGAGCACCCCCTCCCCAAAATCAGCACCCACACCACAAAATCAGCACCCCCAAAATCAGCCCCTACCCCAAAATTAGCACCCCCAAAATCAGCACCCAGACCCCAAAATCGGCACCCAAAAAACCGGCACCCCCCACCCCAAAATGAGCACCCCCTCCCCAAAATCGGCAGCCACAGAATGAGCAGCCCCTCACCCCAAAATTGGCACCCTCACCCCGAAATCAGCATCCCTCCCAAAATCAGCACCTCCAAAATCGACATCCCCACCCCAACATCGGCACCCCCACCCCAAAATGAGCACACCCAAAATCAGCATTGCCCCCAAAAAATCAGCACCCACACCCCAAAATCGGCACCCCCAAAAATTGGCGCCCCCAAAACCAGCACCCCCAAAAATCGGCATCCCCAAAATCAGCCCCTACCCCAAAATGAGCACACCCAAAATCAGCATTGCCCCCAAAAAATCAGCACCCACACCCCAAAATCGGCACCCCCAAAAATTGGCGCCCCCAAAACCAGCACCCCCAAAAATCGGCATCCCCAAAATCAGCCCCTACCCCAAAATCAGCACCCCCACCCCAAAATCGGCACCCCTGAGGGAGAAGGGTCAGGGACCCCCCAAAATCAGCACCCACGGAATGAGCACCCCCTCCCCAAGGGGGGATCCAGGGGGCGTCCTGAGAGGCTCGAAGGGGCCTGGGGGGGTCTGGGGGCTCTCTGGGGCTCCGGGGGGGTCCCCGGGGGTCCCGCTCACCCTTCCTGGCCGCCCTGCTCTTCCTCCTCCTCCTCCTCCTCGTGGAAGCCCAGCAGGAAATCGCGCAGGAAGCGCTCGCCCGGCTCCAGCGCGGGGTCTGCCCAGAGCTTCTGCAGGGGCTCCTGGGGAGGGGGCGTGGGTGGGGGGTCAGACCCCCTGGGACCCCCCTGGGACCCCCCAGCCACCCCAGAACCCCCCGGGACCCCCGGGACCCCCCCCAGGATTTGGGGGGGAATGGGATTTGGGGGGGGGAATAGGATTTTGAGGGGAGTCCCAGGGATTTTTTGGGGGGTGGTCTCAGGGATTTTGAGGAGGGGTCACGAGGATTTTGGGGTGTCCCACTGATTTTTGGGGTGGCAAAAATGGGAATTTGGGCAGGGGGCGTCCCAGGGATTTTTTGGGGGGTGGTCTCAGGGATTTTGAGGGGGGGTCCTGGGGATTTTTTTTGTGGAATCAAAGGATTTGGTCACCCGGATTTTTGGGGGTGTCCTGGTGGTTTTTGGGGGGGCAAAAATGGGATTTTTTGAGGGGGTCCCAGAGATTTTTTTTGGGGGGGGGGATCGCAATAATTTTTTTTTTTTGGGGAGGGGTCCCACCTCCCCCTCCTCACCTTCCTCCTCTTGGCCGCCGCCTCCTCGCCCTCCTCATCCTCCTCATCCACGTATCTCCTGTGGGGAGAGGAAGAGGAAGGAGAGGAGGAAGAAGAGGAAGAAGAAAAAGAGGAAAAGAGGAAGGAGAGGAAAAAGAGAAAAAAAATGGGAAAAAAAGAGGAAGAAAAAGAGGAAGAAGAAAAGGAAGAAGAGGAAGAAAAGGAAGAAGAGGAAAAAGAGGAGAAAGAGGAAAAAGAGAAAAAGAGGAAGAGCAGGAGGAAAAAGAGGAAGGAGAGGAAGGAGAGGAAGGAGAAAAAGAAAAACAGGAAGGAGAAGAAGAAGAGAAAGAAGAGGAAAAAGAGAGAAAAAAAAGAGAAAAAGATAAAAAGAGGAAGAAGAAGAAAAAGAACAGGAAGAAAAAGAGGAAGAAGAGAAAGAAAAAAAAGAAAAGAAAGAAGAGGAAGAGGAAGAACAGAAAGAGGAAGGAGAGAAAGAAGAGGAAAAAGAGGAAAAAGAAAGAGGAAGAAGAGGAAGAGGAAGGAGAGGAGGAAGGACAGGAAAAAGAGTAAAAAGATGAAAAAGAAGAAAAGAGGAAGAAGAGGAAAAAGAGAAGAAGAAAAAGAAGAAAAAAAGAGGAAGGAGAGGAGGAAGAGGAAAAAGAAGAGGAAGAAGAGGAGGAAGAAGAAAAAGAAGAAGAGAGGAAGAAGAGGAAGAAGAGAAAAAACATGAAAAACAGGAAAAAGAGGAAGAGGAGGAGAAAGAGGAAAAAGAAGAGGAAGGAAAGGAAGGAGAGGAAGAAAAAGAGGAAGAAAAAGAGGAAGAAGAGAAAGAAGAGGAAGAGAAAGAAGAAGCAAAAGAGGAAAAAAAGAGGAAGAAGAGGAGGAAGAAGAGGAAGCTGAGGGTCTGAGGAGCCCCAAGCCCCCTCCCCAACCCGAAGCCCCCTCCCCACACCGAACTCACCCCCCCTTCTCCAGCAGCACCTTCCTCTCGTAATCCTTCAGGAACATCGGCGCGGCGCGCTCTTCCTCCCCCTCCTCCTCCTCCTCCTCCTCCTCCTCCTCCTGGGGCCCTGTTGGGGGCGGGGCTCAGCGCGGGGGTCCCGAGCCCCCTCCCCAGCCCCAGGACCCCCCCGGTACCGCGGCTGTAGAACTCGGTGTCGGGCCGGTACACGCGGGGGTCGCGCGTCTTCAGCAGCGCCAGCGTGCGCAGGAACTCCCGCTGCTCCCGGGGGTCCGGCGCCTGCGGGGGGCACCGGGGTCATCCCGGGTCATCCCGGGTCATCCCGGGTCATCCCGGGGTCATCCCGGGTCACCGGGGGGTCAGGGAACAGGGGGGAGCCGGGGGAGGGGCGCACCACGGAGCCGCCGCTGGAGTCGCTGGAGTCGGAGCTGTCGCTGTCGGGGTCGGAGGCGTCGCCGTAACGGTCCCGAACTGCCGGGACAGCGGGAGGTGGGGACGGGACCGGGAACAGCCGGGAACAACCGGGACAGCGGGAGGTGGGACCGGGAACAACCGGGAACAGCCGGGACAGCGGGAGGTGGGACCGGGAACAACCGGGACCGGGAACAACCGGGACAGCGGGAGGTGGGGATGGGAACGGGAACGGGAACGGGACCGGGAACAACCGGGACAGCCGGGAACAACCGGGAACAACCGGGAACAGCCGGGACAGCGGGAGGTGGGGACGGGAACGGGAACAACCGGGAACGGGGAAACGGGAACGGGAACAACCGGGAACAGCCGGGACAGCGGGAGGTGGGGACCGGGACCGGGACCAACCGGGAACAACCGGGAACGGGAACGGCCGGGACAGCGGGAGGTGGGGAACGGGAACGGGACCGGGAACGGGAAGGCCCAGAACCGGTACCGGGAGCAGTCGGAACCGGGGGGAACAACCGGGATCGGGAACGATCGGAACCGGGACCAGGACCGATCAGAACCGGCACCGGGAATGATCGGAACCGGGACCGCTGAGAACGGGGAACCGGGAGCGGGAATGGGAACGATCAGAACTGGGGACGGCACCGATCGGAACCGGGAACAGGAACGGGAATGATCAGGACGGGAGAACAACCGGGACAAGGAAAACCGGGACCGGTCGGAACCGGGGGGAAAACCGGCAGCGGGAGCGGTCGGAAACGGGACCGGGAACGCTCAGAACCGGGGGGAACCGGGACCGGGGCACCGGGACCGCTCAGAACCGGGACCGGCACCGGGAACGCTCAGAACCGGGCAGCACCGGTTCCCCGCGATCGCGGGTGCCGCTCCCGGTGCCAGTCCCGTTCCCGGTCCCGTTCTCCCCTCCCCGTTCCCGGAGTCTCACGGCGCTGCAGCCCCGGTCCCGCCCGGTTCCGCCCCCGTTCCCGCCCCGCTCCCGCCTCTCACGGCGCTGCAGCTCCTCCCGCCGCCGGTCCCGCCCGGTTCCCCCCGCTCCCGCCCCGCTCCCGCCTCTCACGGCGCTGCAGCTCCTCCCGCCGCCGGTCCCGCCCGGTTCCCCCCGCTCCCGCCCCGCTCCCGCCTCTCACGGCGCTGCAGCTCCTCCCGCCGCCGGTACCGCCGGTAGCGCTCCGCGAACGCGGCGTTCACGCGGAGCTCGGGCTCCGCCATGGCCGCGCACGTGACCGCCCGCCGCTTCTGCTTCCGGTTCCGCCGCCGGAGCGCCCCGCCCCTCCCCGGCCGCTAGGCCACGCCCCTTCTGGCTCTTAAAAGGGCAACGGCGCCCAAAGCAGCGGGTGGGGCCCGCAGCGCCCCCAGCCCCATATCGCCCCCTCAGCCGCGACCCCCAAAGTGGGCGCAGCGCCCCCCGCTCTGTTCCCACCCGAGACCCCCCAGAGCAGCGGGGCGGGGTCTCAGCTCCATCTTTATTGGGGTAGAAAAGGGGGGTGGGTGTGAGGGGGAGCTGGAAATGAGTGGGGGGTCCCGGGGGGTCCCGGGGGAGACCCCCGCCCCCCTCAGCTGGTGCGGATCTGGTAATCTGCAAGAGAGAGAGGGGAGGGGCTG